CAATGGTAAGGCGGTAGGCGAAGAATTGTAATGCCATTACTTTTGGCAGTCTCATCTATTAAATATTTATTATATTGTGGGGCGATTTCGGCAACTTTTATTAATAATTCTTTTTTAAATAAGTCATGTCCATGGATTTGCCTTTGCTTTGCAGCCAATCTATTATTTGCTGCTTGTTCCAGCTGGTTGTTGGTATTTTTTCGACTCTTACCGAATGATAGGGAGCGTTATCCATGACAACCACACTTCCTGGTTCTAGCTTAGGCATTATATTAATGAACCAATTAAGGAATCTTTCACCATCCATCTCTTCATGATAATCTTTTGTAGACTTAGATTCAAATACTAGTAGACCATCTTCCACGAATCCCTTGTCGCTGCCAATGTGCAATACAATTAACCTTTTACTTTTTCCTGTCGGAGCTTTTGGACCGGCTGATAAGCCATCTAGAAAGGCTTGTCTTTTATTTTTTACCGTTGTATCCAACCATGCTTTTGTCTTTACGTGTCCGGCGTTTACCCACGTTTCGTCAAGATAGTAAATGGTTTTATTAGCGGCTCTGTATTCTTTTATTTGCCTCAGATATTTACGCCTCCATAAAACAATATCTTCTCTTTCGACTAACAATGTTCTGCTATCCTGTTTATTGAAATCGAAACCAAGCTCGTGCATTATTTTATGAAGTGTGCTACGTTTGAAAACAGGAATATCTTCGTCAGCTTCGCAAAGTGTCATAATTTTGTCCAATGTCGGGTAGTCGTTATTTAAATATATTGAGTGAACTTTTCTCCTTATTGCACATTTGTCTAGTTCATCTAATTTATCGACCGTCGATAGTCGAGTTCTTTTTTTCACGGGTTATATTAATGTGTTAGTATCCTTTTGTTCTTTAATAATTTTATAAACAGTATTTTCGGACACACCACATGCACTTGCTGTTTTTATTACTGTGCTCTTCACAGTCGCATTTAAATCACACAGTTTAAAGTACATAGAAACATTGTAAGTTACGCGTCTCTCTCCGCTATGGATTAGATCTACTTTTATTCTTTCGAATAGGTGAGGTATTTATTTTCAAAATTTAATGTTGAACGAGTAACACGCAAAATACACAACCGTTTTGTTCGAAGGCCTGACTTCAACTGGTCACTGTGAACTCGACTTTCTAATTTCTTGCATTTTAATTGGCTGGGGGGAGTGGCCAGGCCGGCGGACAACGATGAATCACTATTTTCTTAACGCGAACGGACTATAGTAACTTAACTACTAGAAAATAGCATAAAATAATTTTTCCCGTTAATCGGGTAACAGTTAAGCTCCTGGCAACACAATTTTTACGCATGCTAGCATCCTTGCAAATTGTCTTATACACACTACAATATTGCTCTAAATATAGACTATTAAAGGTCGCGCCACCAAAGATGAAATTAAATAGAGTCCACTGCGCATGTACAATCAAGCAGAAAAATGAAAATTTTATTATGGCATTTTAATATGTAAAAAGTCAAAGGTCAACATTATAACTACACATCAGTCTCCACGAAAACGGAACGATATATTTATACAGAATGGGTCCCACATATATGCAATAAATGAAACCACAAGTAATACTAGTCCGTAGAAGTGTAGAAAAATTAAATATTAAATTAAAACCCGTAAAATAAAAAAGTGAAATTTTCAAACAAAATAAATATTAAAATAAATTCAGTAAAAGTCAACCCTCTGTTTAGACAACGTACCTTGACCCCTTGGAAGAGTGACAACGTTGCATGCGGGTGGCACGCCGACAAAAGACACCGCTGTCGATATGTCGCAATACCAATAGTTTGCACTGCGTGACAACGTCGCTTTTTAATGTTCAAGGATTCAAGTTCATTGAATCATTGACTTAGTGACCCAATTCTATAGAGTGTTCAAATTTGCTTAAAATTAAAACTCTACTTTTTGACCTAATTACTGGACCGATTACGTTCATTTTTTGTATATCGTCAGCAAAGGCGATAACAAGTATATGGTTTCATTTATTGCATATATGTGGGACCCATTCTGTATATCATCGTTAGGTTTTAACTGCTTCTAAATAATATTCTGCATTTTATGTACACTTAGTTAAAGAAATAAAATATTTTGTATTTGTATTTTTTGTATTTGTAATTGCTGTTTAAAGTATACTATGCGATAGCCTTCGATTATAAGGATATTTTACATGCAATAATTTGCAAAAACAATCACCTTGTAGAAAATAACAAAATATTTACAACTTTATACAATATACTACGAATTACGCTATTTTAAATAGTCCCAAAATAATTTATAAAGTAATAAATATATGCACACTATTTGAAATATTTTTAAAAGTACAAAAATAACCGCAAAAATTTAAAATTTTATAACAGGCAGTCGCTAACACTTTCGATATCGATAGTACATAAGACGACACAAGAAGGTGCGCGGGCGACGGGACGCAAGAAAAAATGAAGTAGGTGTAGCACGTCGCCCGTTGCTATGGTTTCGCTTCCCCATACCTCACACCTCACCGTGCCGACACCTATTTTTCACTTCTGCGCACTTCCATTTAATTTCATCTTTGGTGGCGCGACCTGTACCATTTATTACATTCAATTTTTATAATATTTTTACATATGTACATCAACAATTATTTATAATTTAAGTTATTTATAATTTTGAAAACTCATTATTTCTTGACTTCTAAGGAATATATTTTTATCTAAATCGAGAGAAAAAATTATATAAAAAATACACTATTATACATCTAAAGTTTGTTTAACAAAATATTTATTAACATTAGAAAAGACAATTATATTTTAAGCAGATAACATAATTTTCGGTTTTGTTGTCTTTTATATAGAAATAAATATAATATTACATTAAGTAAGTATTACATCGATACACTATTATATAATAATAGTGTTAAACTTTGGAATTGATTTTAATAAGCAATGTATATAAATCAAATGTAGTTAAAAATTGTATAAATTTTACATAAATAAAAAAGTTAAGGTAATGTTATTGCAAATATGTTGTATCGATGAAAAATCTCGTTAATTCAGATAAAATGTGGTGAGACAATTACGTAAAAATGTGTTTATTGTATTTGATTAATATTTTTATTTATGAGCATCGATCCCTATAGTTATTATATGAGTAACTTGTTATTAACATTTTGGGTAGCATTAATAGTCCTAATACAAAAATGCAAAATATCTACCTATCCAACCCTATAGATTTGGTATTATCTTGTATTGTCATCGATTATTAAGCCGAAGGGGGTGCTAAAAGCAGATTTTTCACGCTTTATATGGACTGTTTGGTTGGCCCGCGCGCTATTTAAACGCACAATATTTATTTGATATTTCTTTTTAAAATAATATATATTGTTTTATTGAAAAATAAACGCGTAATTCATTCACGTATTTACTGGTGAACACATAGCCTGAATTTAATTGAAATTGATTTCATTACATTTCAATGAAACTGCTTTTTCACTTAGTGGACGTACCTAAAATTGTAGATTTTGAGGAAACTTTGCGATCTTTTTCTATCGAGCCGAAATGTGTCAATCGTGTTTTAGCCACCTTATTTCACTAAGAAAAATCTTTAATTTCATAATGAATTAAAAAATAAATGTGAATTCGTAGTTTTTAATAACAAAAAATTGCACTTTTAAAGCGTAAAAAATCTGCTTTTAGCGACCACAGCACCTTAATATTTTTGTCCTTTAGCTAGCTCTTTCACTTATATGTTTTATTTGTTTATTAGATACCGGGAATCGGAGTATTAATTCATGTCATTAATATTTTATGTCGTGATATTTATACACAGGAACCTTATAAATATGGGCCCCCCATTTATTTGGGTATTATATTACATTTTCGTAACATTCATTTCATTTTATGGGTCCAAAAATTTGTTTACTTTATTAAGGTAAAATGTATCTTTGATTGTGCGTGATTCCACATCACTTAAAAAGTTAAAGTTACAGCCTATATACGTCCCACTGCTAGGCGCAGGCCTACTCTCATTTCTGAGAGGGTTTTGGGGCAAGGAAGTGTCCGCCTCGTGTCTTCAAAATATTTTTCTTATTTCTCAGACATGCGGGTTTTCTCACCATGTTTTCCTTCACCGCCGAGCACGTGGTAAATCAGCACTTAACATTGCAATTAACAATTTCATTCGTGCCGGCGGAGATCGAACCCGGTTTTCTCGCGTGCTGTGAAATTTACAGCGAGTGCTAACCATCAGAGCTATCATGTCTCTTGAGCTACCACGGCTTTCCTGCTCGGTGGCGAAGGAAAATAACGCGACGAAACATGCAAGTCTAATAAATAGAATATTTCGAGGACAGGTAAAGTCCGTCGATACGTACCGGAACAGCGTGGTTTTGATTACAAGAAGCGGAGGCCTATGCCCAGCGGTGGGACGTATACACTTTAACTTTCTTATTTCTTTCTTGTATTATTTCTTACATTTTTTTGTTCTGCTCGACAGGACTTTACACAAGACAATTAAGCAGCATCTTTCTTCTTCTTCTTTTAAATTATGGCTTCTCTTAATAGAATTCTGCCAGTGTCAAAAGTTGCATCTTTCTGATAATAACTCAAATTAATTTAAAAAAAACTGTGGTCTCCAACCAGTTTGCGAAAGAAACGTCGCATCTACGTTAAATATGACGTCATCTATGAGGGAGGCCTATCCTCAACATTGGATAGGTAAATAGGCTGCAATAATAAGGTAATTAATTATGCGGGTAAAATGAATTTTTTATATAAGTAAATGAGAGTAATAAATGTCCAATATGCCAAACAATTGTACATTTTCATTTGAGCGCTAAATCAATTTTGTGTGAAAAATTAAAAATAATAGCATTAAAATCAAAGGTTACGATAACTTCATGTAATTACTAACTTGTATATTATATGCCTGAGTTTATATATTTTTCTCATTTGTTATTTAATCGCCAATAGGCGACAATCACACAATGAAGGCATTTTTATTACTTTGTTGTATTGGCCATGCAAGCGCACTATTTGATGAGTTATGTAAGTATTACATGATTTGACACTGAAATAGGCATATTTTTCAATAGTGGAAACAGATTTCTTTAATATTTTTCTTTTTTACCGTAGTGAACGGTGCCATTATACACTTTGGTCCTTATGATGATTTGTTTAAGATCGGCAACCTTACAAAGCGTTACTCGCCACTGAGCAAGGATGACCTACATGCAAGCAGGAATGCACGCCATTTGCTTGAAGCAGCACGAAATGTATTCAACGTTGGCTTTTACACATTGCCACCGTTAGACCCATATAAGAGTTCAGATCTCCCTCCGATGGTCGTTGATAAACATTTCACGCTTTTATCGTAAGTTACCTACATGAAATATTCGTAGAGTAAAAATATAGATTTGCATATTTAACAAGTTATTTTCACAGCGGGATAATTCACTTAAATCATTTTGAAATGACGGGTGCAAAAAGGTTTAATCTAAACTTGTTAGAAATACGTAATAAAAACGGAAGAATCGATTTCGGTTTTACTTTGCCACACCTCAACGTTAAAGGTAGGTAAATTTTAATATTTATATTTTACATATGATTATGAATAAAACGAAGAATGTCTTTGGCTAATAGTTTGGCTGCGACAATAGGGGTTGCGGGTTCGACTACCGTATAAGACTAGTTATGTATCTATTTGTACTATCATTAAACACCCTATTAAAGTCCACTGTTGATTGCCTCATAGGGGGGAATATTTGCCATAGTCACCACACTTGGCAAGCGCTGTTTTTTTTTAAATTCGTTATTAGGAAGACGCTGCTGCCCATCTCCTGATTTGTCCCCCTGTCACCTCTTACGACACCCGCCACGATATGATGTGGGGTAGTGGATATTAAGAATATCACCTGCACGGTAAAATAAATACAAAGCTGCGTACATTTATATAAATAAATTAGGCACAAAGTGATATGAGCTCCGTTAAAAATATATAGCGGTGAAATTTATAGTTTCATTATTCTATAATATTTTGGACCATGAATTTTAGTATGTTATCTATGACCATGATTAAATAGCCGCGTATGTATATTTCTAAATCGTAAAACGATTAATTGATTTAGTCAAGCCATATAGTCAATAAGCTGTGTAATATTTCGTGAAATCCCACCATTTAACGAAATGATCGACTACTATGATAACAGTAGTTTAATTTTGTATTTTAATATGATTAACCGGTGAAGTAACCGGCGGTCTCAGACCATTTACCCAATGGTCTAATCCGGCGGTGTAAGAATATCCAGTACTGGATTTCTTAAAAGGCGACAGGCGGAAGTTGAACATGACATCTGCCATAGTTGCGTTGCTTTGAGGCATTTTATGGGTGATCCATGTTTAGTACTGGACTTTTAAATAAGGTGTAAAGAACTGTAATGGTAAAATGGTGTGGTTTTTTTAAATAAAAAAAAACGTTACTAATCAATGAGTTTAATTTTTCAGTTGACGTTCAAACAAATCTCCTATTCGCGGATTATATACCTGTGAATATCAAGGGAAAATTAAGGTTTGTGATTTTATCTGATTCTTATGCCGCGAAAATGTCTAAAAAGGATTATTACTTGGTTTGATTGCAGGCAGTAATCTCAAGAATTACTGGACTATTACACTTACACCAATACTTTATTCTTGCTCACCTTAGAATGGTGGGTTCTTAATCCAACATCTAGGGGTGGGCACTAGACAAATCTAGAAAGGGTACGGAATCCCTCCACCCCACCCCTCTATATTCGTCAATGATCCTAAGTCTAAAAGAATACAAATATCCGTGATAGCAAAGTTGCAGAATCCAATAACCTAATAACACTTAATTACCTTGACCACGAAATTATTTTGAATGTCTTTTCGTTATGCGTTATTAGAATAACACTTAGTAATGATATAGATAATTTTAAGCGACAATTAGTCTAATGGTAGGGTGCGGACCGCAAACTGAATAGTTCGTAGGTTCGAATACGCTATTCAACTACTGTCGTGAACCACTCCTAACACAATAATTTTAAAAATTAAAGGGTTAAAGGGAATATTAGTAACGTTAATATCAAAAATTTCGCAGACTTCTATAGATAATGCAATATAAATTCTAATATGGCAGACTTTTCCGTCTGGAAATGAGAAGCTCTTGAGATTCGTCAGATGCAGAGAAGCTCGTCAGATTTTTGCCTGCCTTATTGAATAAGAAGAAGAATCTGACATTGTGGAGTGCGGTGATTATAACCTGCAACGGTTCGTTAATGAGCTATTGTTGATCATGACTGCCTCGTTGGTCTAGTGGTTGTAGTAGTGCGACTGCTGATCATGAGGTCCTGGGTTCGAATCCCGGGTCGGGCCAAAAAAATCAATTATTGAGTTTTTCTGTCAAGAAATTCTCAATAGCTGCCCGGAGTCAGAAAGTTGGCGGTGTCTCACCCCCGTGCCTCGGAAAGCACGTAAAGCCGTTGGTCCTGCGCCTGATCTCTCTCCCGGTCGTGTCGGTTTACCGTTGGATTACGAGAGGAGGGAATAGGGGCTTGCGCATACACTTGGGCACTATAATCCTGTCCTGCGCCGATGGCTAGCCTCCGTCGAGGCAGGCCGCTGTGGCCGAAATTCGGTTGGAGGACATTATTATAATGTTGATCATAAAAAGCAGCCTTCTTATTTTTATTGTGTAATGTTCAACTCTATTTGACGTAGGTATCAACAGTGGCGAAGCTTCCATTAAAGCCGAAAAGCCGGGCATGCCTTATTAAACCTGAATCAATCAATAATATCAACTAATAAAATAACTCGTAAAATGTTTCAAGCTATTTCAAATTTCCCGCGCACTCCACTGTTCGACACATGTCGACCGATGACCTCGTATTGCCTTAGCGATACTGCTGCTGTCATAAAAAATGAGTTTTAATTAGCTAATAGTTGGAAAGCACTCGCGTGGGCTTTTTAAGGGGATTTCGAGAAGACGATCGCTCTCTTTCTAACCTATGGCAAAATATTCTATAATGAAATATAACTACGATATAGCAGGTATATAGTATAATAATGAGATATATAGGTATATAGTATAGAGAATTAGTATAGAGATTTAAAGCCAGGCTTTTGGGAATAAATTTGTTAAAAGCGGAGGCGCGCGGCAATACGTTTGCAAGTTCATTT